ATGCTTAAATTCTATTCACACCCAGCTTGTGTAGAAGCATATTATTGTAAACAAATGTAAATCAAACATTTGTTTGATGATACCTTTAGAGGCTGAGTGAAGGTCCGTGCTCAAGAAGATAGTGACTAAAGATTATTATGAAATCCTGGTAGTCGATTCTATTGGGTCAATGGTAGTCATATTTCAAAGGGGCCTGAGTGAAGGTCAGCCTTGTGAGATCACTGATGGATATCATTGGAAGGAAATTCTGGTAGGAGATTTTGAGGGATCAGATTCTATTGGGTCAATGAAATTTATATCCAGTTTGGATCCCTGAACGCATCATTAGATGTTAGTCACCAACGGTTTCCCGTGCGATTGTAATAAGATTGGTTATAATGGATTAAGTCCTTGAGTTTAACTCGAAATCACCTTGGAAGGATGGACTGAACTAGCATGGGGGTTTCTCAAGGGAACAAGGAAATATCACGTGTTCTTTACTTTTGCTTATGCCTAATAGTTTATGTTTTCATAACTTAATTAGAATAATTGCTTAGAAGAAATATCCAGAAGTGTTGTTAACAAAACAACGTTTAGAAGCGAATGTTTGTCAAGAAAAGGAAAACCCAATTTAAACCCCCCCTTTCTTGTGTTTTCTTCACACCTTCACTCTTTTAGGAATATGGTGATAAATATGGCATTGAACATAACTTTTCAGCTTTTAGGACACCGCAACAAAATGGTACTGTGGAGCGTAAAAATCTTGTTTTAGAGGAGTTGGCAAGAACAATGCTCAATGATAGTTGTCTACCTAAGTATTTTTGGGCCGATGTTATTGGCACAACGTGTTATGTCTTAAATAGGATACTTATACGTCATATATTAGACAAAATAGCCTATAAACTTTTAAAAGGTAGAAAACCAAATTTATTACATCTTCATGTATTCAGATGTAAATGTTTTGTTTTAAACAATGGTAAGGATAACCTTGGAAAATTTGACGCAAAAGCTGATGAAGGTATCTTCCTTGGATACTCTCAATCAAGTAAAGCTTATAGTATATAATAAGAGATTACTTATTTTTGAAGAGTCAATACATATGACTTTTGATTAGTCTTGTTTGAAAAATCTCAGGAAAGGTATTTCTTTTTGTGGCACATATGCATCAATAAAAGACATAATCAAGGACACCGAAGAAGGAATTGAAAAACCTTTGTCGGTGAAATCTGAGGAGAAGGAAGATGACGAACCTGAAAAGAATAAATATGAAAGTCAAAATAAAGAGGATGATCTTCCCTTAGAGTAGAGAACTTCCAAGGATCGTTCAATTGACAACATTCTTGGAGACATCACCAAAGGAATAACTACTCGCTCTAAGATAAGTAACTTCTATTATCACGTTGAATTCAAGTCTTAAGTTGAACCTAAAAATGAAAAATATGCCTTACTTGATGAGCATTGACTTATGTCCATGTAAGATGAGTTAAATCAATTTGAAAGAAATGACATGTGTAGCGGTAAAATCAATGAAGTCGCCACAGAGTATTTATTTATCCCATATGAAAGGGAAAGGAAAATCATCGAAGAAAAACCTAAAGTGGGAATCAAGGTCTTGCGACCGAGAGATTGGGTAAGGGAGTCGATTAGGTGAGGGAAAGGTATTAGCACCACACACGTCCATAGTACTCTACGGGATCCACTCTCGTTATTCTAATCAAAGGGGGTGTCCAATCTAATTCTTAAACGTTATAAACTAAGAGGGAATGCATGCAAAGAAAACATGGGGAAAAGAAGGAAGTATTTACAATTTTCGCTCGGCTGAGCCCCGTGATCAGATGCCTACGTATCCCTTTTAAGAAATCAGAGCGCCGTAGTTTGGCTCACATATTTTGTTTGTTTGTATTTTTTAAATGAACAATGTTGCATTCGATCATTCCACCGCTGCTCAACCTTTGGAGACTTATGACCTGTAGCGTAAAGGAGCTAACATGCTATTAGAAAAGAAAAGCCAAATGGCGAAAATAAATGGATTGGTTGGTATTTTTTTATCATGAAAAGAATTTTTTTTGTATGCTTAGCATTTTTTATACATTTGCTAAGAAAAAGAAGTTTTAGTTTTAAATGCAATTATGCAAAAATGGGAAGAAAATATCAAAGGGAGACTAACCTATCTCTAACCTAATGTTATCACACAATGAGGGAACCTATCTAAGTTAGCATGCCAAAGAAAGTCTAACATACTATCCTATAGGGAACATGCACTGAGAGCGAAGTCGTGATCTCAATTTCTAAATTGAGTGACTCATCGATCAACAAGAAATAAAGGAAATCGATAAAATCCTATAGGGAGCATGCACTGAGAGCGAAGTCGTGATCTCAATTACTTAATTGAGTGACTCATCGATCAACAAGAAAGGGAGCAAACACAAGCACAACACATATAAGAAATGAAGTGCAGAATGCCTGCTACAGGTCTTTAAACAGCGACTTCGAGCGCATGCTCTTTATTTCCTACTTCTCATGATATCTAGAAAGCGATAAATGCAGAAGTATAACTTGGAATTAGTTTAATACTAAACGAGCAATAAAGTCCTAAAAAAGCGCAACCAAAGGAAAGAGACTCGGAATAATTCGCGCGAGCTGGCATCAGCAAACAAATAGTCAGAGATCGAATATTCCGAATAGATGTCAAAGTTTCATCGATGTGAAAATAAATCACAATCGGAATCCAAATACATCCGCATATCGAATAATGAACCTGCATAAGACTCAGCTTAACAAACAAAGGTGAATCACCATCTTCAAGTAATCGAAAACATTAGGGATGAATTTCCTAAAATCAAATAAAAAATCTAACAAATTTTTATTGGTTTTTTGTAATTTATTACCTAAAAGTAATAAGAGGTATTCCTAAGATCTACATTCCTTATTATTTTTATTATGTGTAATTTATTACTATTTCGTAGGAAATTAAACAAAAAAAAAACAAAGGCTAACTAAACAAACTAGAAAGAGTCAGAAGGGGCGAAGCAGGAATTAGGACGTGTGTTGAAGTAAGGGCATTAAGCCCATGCTGGAAATCCGTGGAGCATTTTTGGGATAACATGCAAGAAGCTTTATAAAAAATCAACAAAATGGGCCATGGAAGATTAGTCTGGCCCAACCGTTGAGACAATGAACCAATTATCTTTATTTTGTTGATTATCTGTTGAATTATAACAAACAAAAAAAGCAATCAATAAAATTTAAATGGAAATAAAATAAATTATAAGGAATTAGGGTTGAAGTTGGGTATGCCCTTTCATCTTCCATGAGAATCCCCTTCATCACCAATTTACCTCCGGCTCCCTTTTCATCATATCACCGTGCAAACCTCCGGCCACCATAAGCGCAAACACCTTCGCCGCTTCCTTCGGTCTTCTCCTTGGTACAACTCTTCATCCATCTCCAATTCAAACCACAACCGGCCACATCACCGACACCGCCACAATGATCTCCTCCTGATTCCTGTTTTGGCTTATCTCGGATCATAATTACAAGCCTAGATATCGCTTTCTTCGATTCAATCCCTCGCTATTTCCGTGTCTCTCTTCTTCGTGCTTCAAACAGTACGAAACAATGATACAAGATCGAACAATAATGGAATAGGTTGAAGAGAATTACCTGCTAGAGACGAGTTCGGTTCTCTTTTAATACACGACGAGAAATCCATAGGTAAATCATTCTCTCTATTCATCCTCTTCTTGTTTCCGTGATTTCGTTTCTTGCGCTTTCTGTTGTGGTAATCGTGAAATTGCAGATTCAGCGGTGTCGATGCGATGAAGATGATGTGTAGCTTGCAGATTCTAGCATGACTCGCAAAGATACGCGACTTGCATAAGATGAATCTAGGAAGATAAAGATCCAAGGCTTTGAAGAATCGATGCAAATCTTTAAAGAGGTAGAGATTACAGAGAGAATGTAAAGAAGTCAGAGAATCTCAGAGGTGAGTTCTTGATTTTCTGTGTTCTTCTGAAGAACCAATCGTGAATCTCCTTATCTTTGTTATCTTCTCCTTTTCTGTTCTAATTTCCCTCTCCCTTTTCAATCTGGGAGAGCCTTTTCTTCGGAAGCCCCTGATTCTGTTAGAAATCTCTTATCCTTGGAGATTCTGTTATGAATTGGTTATACCGTTAGAAAACAGTTAAATGGTTGGAAGTTAGTTATCTCTATTTTGAAAACAGTTAGTACTGTTAGTTGGTTAGTTAGAGAGTAGAAATGAATTTGATTAGAAAGTTTACCGGTCTGCTGAAGCTGTTAGAACCTTCTGATATGTTTTTCTTGACATCCTAAGCAGGGAATTAGACTTGAATCTTATTCTATTTTCACATTTTTTTATTTTTCTGAGTTTCAAACTCTTTTGGCAATCTTTTTTTTCGTTATCAAACTACTGCACACCAAAAGCTGTTATGAAACCTGTATCCTTTAATTATGAACAGGTTTCCTCCAATTTTTAACTATTTGGGAAACTGATGCAGGGGCCCATTTTGCGAGGACCGACTTCAACTGGCCTTCTCTGAACCTGTTTATCAGATGAACTGCAGTTTGGTTATCACTAGCATGCTAGGATAGTGGCTTGGGGCTAGGCGGTTAGGAAATGTTTGAACGTTAACTTGGCTTGGGTTCAAACATGAATGTGAGTAGACGACGGGCTCTTGTTCTATCTTCTAGACTGTTTTTTTGTTATATGTCGATTATTGTGAACTGAACTGGTTTTCTTGTAGGGATAGATCTATAACGGTATCCTCTTTTACATTTGAGTGCAACCCCCATGAAGCCGTTCATCCATTGAAGCATCTGTAGTCTTACTCCTAACTTCAACTTGGAAGATCTTTTGGTTTCTTATAGTTCTGTATTTGACCATTTAGAAGTGCAGTTCCAAGAGTAAAAAAAACATATTCCATGCTCAATGAGATCTAATACTCAAACATAATCGACATTGTTTTAATTACACCTCCACCCTTTTTCTCTCCATAAACAGCATGAGAAGGGAAACTTTCAAGTATGACAGAAACCATAGCTTCCTCAGCAGATTGATCATCAATGGTGACAGGACTAAGATCCTGTTTGTGAATAATGTCAAAAAATTTCCTGAAATATCTACAGATGACATCTCCGGCGGCATCGGCGGCCTTGTTGGCGACATCGGCAAAGTGAGTGAGTTAGTGAGGAAGCGAATAGGGTTTATGTACTTTGTGAAATGCAGCTTTTAGGATTACAATCAAATTTGCGAGAATCTTTTATTTTGCATAAGGCTTGATATCTCTTGTAATGAAAGTAATTGAGACAAGTGCAGTAATACGTATCATCACTTGCATTTTTTTGAATCTTGAATGAATTATTACATTTATTATGTTTGAATCTTTGAATAGCCTTTGAACATAACCAATGGTCCCAAGATATTCCATTCTTTCCATGCTATCCTTGAGTATTCCTTCTCGCTTTTCGCGGTGTTCTCAAGACTTTAACTCCTTGGCATCATAAACACTCGTGAATAAATGGACAATCTTTGCAATATGGAATCCATATCATTTTGAATGTGCCTTGGTCCAAGAGTCTTGCATTGATGCTAATGGATGAATGAATCTTGATTCTTAAATGATGCTTGAATGAATCTCAAAATATCACTTGAATCCAATTTTAGTTCTCAATTCAGATCCAAACTAATTTCATGACAAGAAACAAACAATTGACACACTATTATAGGCCTTTGTGATTCGAGTTTTCGATGGTCCACCCGATTAAATTTTAAATTTAGATTAAATTTTTTACCCATATGCATGAATTCTATTCCACAATAATGAACCCATTCTCTACTTCACTCCTCAAATTCAAGTCAACTGGCAAATAATTAAGAAGTTGGAATTTTTTTTATTAATAACCATGTATTAAAAAAATATTTCGTAAATAACCGGGTTTTGGAAAAAATTACGCAAATAACCATGTTTGAGATGGCTCCACAAAGGAGGAGCCATCTCAATTGGCGCATGCACCTCCTTTTTTAAGGGAGGCGCCATCTCACTTGGCGCCTAAGTGCTTAGGGCATGCCCTAAGCCAAGTGAGATGGCGCCTATGTACAAATTTAGGGCAAATTTTTTTTTTTTTTATTTTTTTCCCTGTGCGTTGCCTATTGGACAGAGATCAACAAAATGGACTTTTTATTAAAAAAAAATAATTACATTCAACTGTATTACATTAAAAGAACAGTAAAAAAAAATGGATACAAAAAATACTGGGAAAGAAAAGATACATCAGTGATCCCCCGGAACCCGGTAATGACCCCCGGTTCCGCATCCCCGTCCTCGCCTTTCTCTTGCTGGGTGTCGTCGCGTTTCCTGCTGCGGCAAGGTCGATGGCCCAGCGAAGTCAATGCGATCCGAATCCATAAAATCAGTAAGATCTCCATATCTCGAAGATCTTCTCTGGTACAGTCGGTTACCCATACCCTCAAAGTTTGGTCGTGTTGGCGGTGGGTGGGGTTCCATGGTTGGTCGGTAGCATTGATCGTCTGAGTATGGGGGGTAGAAAGGAAATGGATCTTGGGGTGTTTGGTATTGTGGATGTTGGGTTGTTTGGTGATATGGTGGTTGATGGTAGGTTTGGTCGGCTTGGTCATAATCTTCTGACATTCCCATATCAGGGCTAAGGCTGGATGTTGAGGGCGCCATATTGGGATATGTGGAAGACTGAAATTGTGTCTGGGGTATGTGGGTGTGCTGGTATTGGGGTTGGTATTATGGTTGGGTTTGAGGCATATCCGGGTATTGGTAGTTTGGTGGTGATTGTGGTTGGTAGTACGGCATTTGATTGTAGTTGTGTTGTGGTGGGGAATGTGGTTGTGTGTTTGTTGGTATGTTTCTTCTTGGGGGTTGGTTTGAGGTTGATGGATTTTGGGTTTGTTGATGGGGAATCGAGGGTTGTGCCCATTGTGTGCGTGGGTCAACCAAGTACCTCGGATGAGACACGTGCATTTCTGGGTTACTAACTGACCTGTACCACGACATATATTGATCAGTGTGTCGCATGTTACCTTGAGTAAGGAAAAATGGGGATTGCAAGATGTAGCGGTGACGCCTTTGCCACATTTTACACCATTCCGGAGCAAAGTCTTTCCAGTTGATAAGACCCCACTGGGCGTCGACCCTTTTAAGATGCCAGGGGGACAAATCTGTTGGATCACTTGGTATCTCTTGATGCATTCCGAACTGCATCTTCACACGGTCGCTGTGGTGCATCTCCATAATGTTGAACCGAATGAGTGCAGTCTTTGCAGTCCAAGTTGTTGCATCCTCTGGGTTTGGAGCATGGCCCAAACCCAAATATGGTCTCCAGACGAACTGCGATAAAATTTAAATCAGGTTAGCGCAAAAGTAATGTATAAATAATTAAAATGAACAAAAGTTAAAAGCTACGACGTACGTCATCTGGGCCTAAGTGATCCAACAGATTCCGGTAGAGTGCGACATTGAATCTTGGATTCTTGCCGTAATCCATACCCCTCACGCAGTACCTAAAGGAAATGAGAAACATGTTATTTTTAGCATATATTTTGGAAAGAGCAGAATAGTTATAAATGCTATAACTTAATGACTTGCTTTGTTGCGTACGGGAAACCAAAAGTGTTGTTGTTGATGGGGTTTAAGGACTCCATCCTCCACCAACCCCAGGCTTGTAGTAAAAATGCGCACCCATAAAATGTACATTTTTCCTTGACTTCGTTTTTGCACAAGGAACTGTATAGGTGGGCTAATACTGCAGAACCCCAACTATATTTTTTAGTTTTTTCAAAATTTGTTAGTAAATGTAAGTACATGAAATTTACACTATTTCCCGTACTTTCGGGAAATTAAAATGTACCAAAAAGTATCATAAGATACGTTCTGGCTTTTACTACTCGGTCATTCTCTGAGGAATTTTCATTTAATTCCATACTTGCATAATGACGTTTCAGGTCAGTGAGTAGTATTCCCTGCCCTCTTGCTCCACCACCTTCTACCATATCCCTACCCAACAGTTCTTCACACTGTGAGTTGGGTTGTTAAACCGACCCGTTCACCGCCTTACCGTCGATAGGGAGGCCCAGTAGCATGTACACATCCTCTAGCATGATGGTACATTCACCTATTGGTAGGTGAAATGTATGGGTCTCCAGTCTCCACCTTTCCAACATTGCAAGAATGAACTTTGAGTCAATGGTGTAGTTGGAGATCTTTATCACATGTCCAAAACCTGCATATTCCAGATAAGGGACGATAAATGGGTCGGGAGCCAGGTAGCTGTGCGAACGGATTCTGAATCTTTTTGTGTCCTGAGATCATAATTTAACAAGTGTAAGATTAATTAAGATGAACAACACGTTATTTGAAGTATGAAAAATGTATAACCAAAGAAGAGACTTACAAATGCAACAATGTTTTCCCTTGTGCCTCTGTGAGTATCGCCCATTGTTAGAAGAGCCATTGTTCAGAATTCTTGAGAGTATGAAAGACTTAGGAAGAGATAGAGAGTATGATAGACTTAAGAAATATTTCGTAGCAGAGAGTGAGAGTTGTGTGGGTGTGAGAGGATGTTTCATAAGGTATGTATTTATAGGCAAATAAGTTTGATGTAGTGGTTGCTTGTGCTTGCATGCCTGCGAAGTGTCACATTTGCATGCTTAGGGTGTTACACATATGCATGCATGCATTTAAAAAAATGTAAGGTGTCACTCTTGCAGGCTAGGTGGCAGCCCATGCATGTATCACGATTGGACAGTAAGGGAGGCGCCATGGGACTTGGCGAAAGAGTACAAAAGTGAATGGTGTCGCCACCCCATTTGGCGAATAAGAGGTGTCATTTGTTACAGCATAGGCTCAGGCTACGTGACAGCCTTTGGGATTCCTTTCTTTGTTGCATGCAAGGCCATTGAAGTTGATGGGTGGAGTCTTACACAAAACATGTATGTGTGCAGAATAGGGCCAGGATAGGTGGCAGCCTATGGGGTTTCATAAGCCCATGCATGTATCACGATTGGACAGTAAGGGAGGCGCCATTGGACTTGGCGAAAGAGTACAAAAATGAATGGTGTCGCCACCCCATTTGGCGAATAAGAGGTGTCATTTGTTACAGCATAGGCTCAGGCTACGTGACAGCCTTTGGGATTCCTTTCTTTGTTGCATGCAAGGCCATTGGAGTTGATGGGTGGAGTCTTACACAAAACATGTATGTGTGCAGAATAGGGCCAGGATAGGTGGCAGCCTATGGGGTTTCATAAGCCCATGCATGTATCACGATTGGACAGTAAGGGAGGCGCCATTGGACTTGGCGAAAGAGTACAAAAATGAATGGTGTCGCCACCCCATTTGGCGAATAAGAGGTGTCATTTGTTACATCATAGGCTCAGGCTACGTGACAGCCTTTGGGATTCCTTTCTTTGTTGCATGCAAGGCCATTGGAGTTGATGGGTGGAGTCTTACATAAAACATGTATGTGTGCAGAATAGGGCCAGGATAGGTGGCAGCCTATGGGGTTTCATAAGCCCATGCATGTATCACGATTGGACAGTAAGGGAGGCGCCATTGGACTTGGCGAAAGAGTACAAAAATGAATGGTTTTGCCACCCCATTTGGCAAATAAGAGGTGTCATTTGTTACAGCATAGGCTCAGGCTACATGACAGCCTTTGGGATTCCTTTCTTTGTTGCATGCAAGGCCATTGGAGTTGATGGGTGGAGTCTTACACAAAACATGTATGTGTGCAGAATAGGGCCAGGATAGGTGGCAGCCTATGGGGTTTCATAAGCCCATGCATGTATCACGATTGGACAGTAAGGGAGGCGCCATTGGACTTGGCGAAAGAATACAAAAATGAATGGTGTCGCCACCCCATTTGGCGAATAAGAGGTGTCATTTGTTACAACATAGGCTCAGGCTACGTGACAGCCTTTGGGATTCCTTTCTTTATTGCATGCAAGGCCATTGGAGTTGATGGGTGGAGTCTTACACAAAACATGTATGTGTGCAGAATAGGGCCAGGATAGGTGGCAGCCTATGGGGTTTCATTATTGCATGTAATATTATTGGCAGCCTTGGGGGGTTGCATCCCTTACTTAATTGAAATTTTTTGCCTTACGTTGAACATAACATTGATTCACATAATCTGTAAAATCTTCCAACCTTCGAATCAGTCATCAAACCTTCAAATATTCCAGCATTCATACCTTCATACAATCAAT